GAACACACCTTATGTTTCCTCCTATCTGTTTGGAAGCTAATCTGTGTGCATACCTGCAGATACCTCACTCTGCCTCTTCCAACCCTGGTGCAGGATCTAGCACATTCACAGTACTTATTAGACTAGCTGACACACACAGATACTTGCACTCTTTCTTATGGAGATTTGAAACACCTGCACACAGTCAGAGTAGTGCTGCACTCATTGTTATTTCTTCTTTGCATGCTCACCTTGTGTGAGTGTGCTGTGTGTAATTGTGAGTGTGTGCCTCGCTTTGCAAGCTTATACAATCGGGCCCCTTTTCCTCATCATGCATGCTCATTTCAAAGCAGCTGTCCACCCTGATGACCACGAGGAAGACAGATGAAGGCTTGCTTAGAGATGTTCAGCATCCAAATCACACACCAGCTCCTAGAAACATGGCTAACGCTAAAACTCTTACACACACAACAACAACATTCCCGGCTGCGTGACCACCAGTGTTGGAGGAATGCCAGTGCTGTCGGTGTGTTCTATCCCTCTGCCTGAGTTATGCACCTGTCTGTACACATCTTCCTCTATTCACGTCTTTCCCCACATGATACACATCATCTCACTATACCACGCCTGGCAGCCTGTCTGTGGAAAGAATTAGGGCCGCAGTGTTTTAATAAATAGTGTTAGTTCTAAAATGTGAGTATAAGGGAAAGGAGAAGATGAGGAAAGAAGCAAAGAAAGAGAGTGTGACATAAAAAGGGAACTGAGAAGGTGCAGGCAAGAGAGTCAGGGAGGAAGGTGCAGAGGCTGAAAAGAAATTCAGTTCCTTGCCTCACCTTCAAAGGCTCACAGAATCAGCGTGCAAATAAAGTTCGTTCTGTTTGCAAGGTGATTTATCGCCACTGTGAGAGGCATTGTCGGGACAAACATGGCATTAAATAGAAGAATTCTCTTCCTTCTCACATAGAAATGCACAAGGCAACTGATAGGAGGCAGACATAATGCGTAACCATGGGGATGCTTTGCATATGAATATGTTATTGGTTCTTCACATACATTTGTAACATAGTCCATTATTTCAGATGCCTGACACTGTACAAAATGTATGAAGCAGGTCTAATCCATTTCCATAATAACATACCATCATATGTGTAAATGAGAAATGAAACAGGGATAATGTGTGCATGGTAGCACATGGTTTGCCTAGAAGCTTTGTCTAGTAAGTCAAAATGTTCTACTAACCTACAACTGCTTGCTGGAATTTATAGTTTTGCACCAAGTCTGTGTGGACACTAGTGAATGTGGGTTTATTTACATGAGAACAAAGGTTTGAAACACAAATGAAAGTAAACTGAGATTAACACAAAACAAAACTAAGGGAATCCAACAAGGCAATGGAACATTTAATTTAATTCAATTCAATTTTATTTGGATAACCCCTTTTAGAAAAAATAAGTGAAGCTTGAAGTATGCAGTAGGTAATTATTATTTCATTTCTTTTATTATTACATATCGACACTCTTCTTTGAGTTGTATTTTTTCTGTAGAGACGGTCTAAACTATCCCAAACTGGCCTCTGGCTGGTTGACATTAATACCTAATAGCATGGTGTCTGTGATTTAGATGCAGTGATTGTCAGTGTTATAGCACTGAATTCTTTGCTTCTTCTTCATTCATTCTGTAGTGAAACACTTTCGTCTAGTTTTCTGCCCCTAGAGGACACGTTTACTTATGTCCAATTATGAAGGCAGATACTCGTATGTGACCACCCGTGCATGACGTCCTCATATTTTGCGAATACGAGGACGCAGAAGTATAAACCAGGCCTTAGCATTCTCTGCTGCATTTTCTGTAGTTCTGAGGCCTAATTCTGTGACTAACTGAGGACCACGTAATATTTCAGTTACCAAAAGATCAGGATGTGTGTACTAAAATTCTTTATCATCAGTAGCAGGTTTCATCTGGTCGTGGTCACAGTGGATCCGGAGCTAATCTCAGCAACAATGGGCACAAGTATGGAGAATTCATGGGATGCCAGTCCATCACAGGGCACACTGCACACACTCAGTTTTTGGGTCAGTGGAAGGGAATCTGAGAACCTGGAGGAAACCCATGTGAACTCAGGGAGAACATGTGAAACTCTGCACAGACAGTCAAGCCAACTCGAGCTCAGGGTCGGACCCAGGACGCTGGAGCTGTGGGGTAACGAGACTACCCACTGCGTCACCCAGCGTATCAAAATTAAACCTGCATTTTTCCCCCAAATGTTTTTGTAGTAGTAGAAGATAGTGTTTATGGTTCTGAACTAGTGACATGGAACACTGTGAGCTCAAATCCAAAGAGTTACTTTTGGGGTACTGAGCCAAAATCTTATCTGCTAACTGCTAAGCAGGTGCTTGGTTTGTTTTGTGTTAATTATATGTTAATTTGCATAAAGTCATTTGCCAAAATTATAAATGTAAATATAAATATAATATTCAGCTGAACGTAATGCATGTGCACTCAAGGTAAGTTACTTAAGGTAACGTTCTGATTGTTTGCAATTCAAAACAACCTAAAATAACCCAGAGCTGTTGGCTCACTATTTGTTAATTAGATTAATTAGGTTTTTAGTACATCACTTAATTGGTCACCCTCAGTTGCACAAATGGTTACTAAAATGGCTGTTATTAGCAATTATCTTAGTAGATTATCACTGCTAGACATTTAAAATGACCTACACTCCTGGGCAAAAAATTGGGCCAAGCCCAAAATGGCAAATATTAAGCTTTTAATGGTCTTAAAGACAAATCATTGCTCAGAATATTAGCATGAATTAAACAAATGCACTCCTGAGACATTTTACTTTTGCTTTTGCTGCAATGACCTGTTTGGGGAAAAGCTAGAAACAGGGAAATTCACTTTAGTCTTCTTGTATGCAAAGGAAAAAGCTAATGATGATAATGATTAAAATGTTTGATGTTTGAAAATTCAAACTACCACATCTACACTGCCCTCCAAAAGTTTGGAAACGCCTGAACAAAATAGGGTTTTTGGGCAATATCAGCATAAATCCTCTTTAGTTAGTGACCATTTTGCATTGATAATAAGGGACAACACTAGGCATCCGAGCAGTCAGTTTATTCAAACATTGACTTGATATATTACTCCAAGCCTCCTGGAG